AATGTTGACCATACGCACGGTCAGATAGCCATCTACTGACCTCAGATTGACCGAGTCTCACACATACACACACACATTTAGGTGCACACACACTCATCGAAATAATGGTTTCATACAGATTACAGCATCCAAAATATTAACACAAAAGTTGGAAATAGAATTAAACTGAAATCTGCAGCTTTCAAGGTTTGATTCCACACAGTAATGTTTCTGAGTGACATCACCTCTCTCCTTGTTGTTTCAGCCCGTCTTAACTAATGTCATTAAATGAAAACATACAGCTTTAATTTAGGCGCTCTTGAAGCACACAGATGTAAATTATAGTCTTAATCCTCAACAAATAGGGACACGCACTCTCAACAGGGGGGTCTTTTGTATCAGGATAATAACACCACTGAGGGAAAGTGAGATGGAAGGGGAGAAGAATAGGAACATGTTGAAATAGAGAGAAGGTGAGATGTGGAGGATGGGGGAGGAAGAGGATGGAGAGGTTATTTTGAGAAGAGGGCAATGAGAGAAGACCTGGGGCTATTTGAAGTGAAAGGACACATGTTGTGTCCCCCATTTTGTCTTTTTAATGTCATTGATCATTAACCATGAATAAGGAAGAGGATTCATGTATATGTTTTTTTACTCTGAGATTATAGTATGAATGAGGAAAATAATGATTTAGACTTTATTCCCACAATTCAGATTGTTTGACGTTTTCAGAGTCAGAGTTCTGATGTTTTATCAAATTCTGAAAAAAACCAACATTTGGACTTTTCTCTTTTCTCTTGGTCCTGTTGTGGCCCTTATCCTCTTCCATACATGAACAACATGCATCCCTCAGCTATTAAGAACATATATTCTACTTTAAAACTAAAGAGTATTTGACTTTTTTCTTACTGAATTTACTGTTTTTAGCAAGGGAAGTATGATTATTATGATACAAAAGTTTTGTCAAATTTGTATAATTTTGTATAAAATCGAAGTTTTGTTTTAATTCAAGTTTAATTACTTTGGCCACAATTGACGTATACACTTGTCTATCTTAGTTTTAGTCTGATATATTTTATCACTGAGACACTTTTACACAGTTTTACTGAGTAGCAAAATATACGGACTCCTCTCTATTTTATGCTGTGACATTTGCTGACAGTCAGTGAGGTAGCGTTTGTGCTTTAGGCAGGGAAACATCATCCACTGGTGGGTCATGTTTTAATTTTAGAGCCATCAAAATGTTGACACGCACACACACACACACACACCACACACACACACACACACACACACACACACACACACACACACACCACACACCACACACACACACACACACACACACACACACACACACACACACACACACACACACACACACACACACCACACACACACACACACACACACACACACACCACACACACCACACACACACACACACACACACACACACACACACACACACACACACACACACACACACACACACACACACACACACACAGCTCCAGTGCTCCTGCCTTCGAGTCAAACGTACAGTACCTGACTAAGCAACCCTAGAGCTATGTATGGTTCATATCGGAATAATATGAACACACACACCTGGTCCCTCCCCCACAGGCACACAGGTACACAGGCATGCAGACACCTGATACACACAGCCTGCTAGCTATTTCTGGACCGGTAGCTAAATAATATGTTTTGATAAGGTCAACAGCCTGGATGTGGTTTCCAAACATGATCTCTGTTTCTCTGACTTGCTGGCTGCTGAAATATCTCCAGAGTTAATTGACAGCAGGAGAAATGCAGAGACAGGAGGGACGAATAAAGACAGCAGGAGAAAGATATGAGTCAATAGGTAAACATTTTTGAGTAAATCTGTGAGAGTTTTTTGGCTTTACGATTTCTGTGTTTGTTGTTGAAAACATACTCACTTCAAATATGAGAGGCTGTTAGGATATAAGTACAACGTTCGCATACTATTTGGCACCAGCCACATGACACTATGCAATACATGGCTATTAAATGCATGTATCTACAAGGCTGTAAACTGAAACTCAGCCACTGTTCTCTCTAATGCTGCAATGACACTACATGGTTCAGCACACACACACTCAACTGAACTCTTTTGTGGTTTACCATTAGCAAAAGTTGTGGCTATAACCTAGCCACATTTTCTTGGAATGTCTATGATCGCGGTTCTTTTAAACACTTCAGACCTTTAATTAGTCAGAGAAGATATAATCACTTGTACATCACGGGACATCCTGCCAATGGTCCGATTTTTAAAAAGCAAACCTACTGTTTAAAGCGATTATAATTTGTTTGTATGCCGACCAAGTTATAAGAAGAAGTGGATACGTTCTTCTGCTTGTTATGTTAAGGATGATGTCACAGCAGTTTCACACAGTGTCACTATGGCTTGAAACAGGTGTTTGCTACGTTCCTCACCTGTTGATGGTGACAGATTTGTTAACAATTCAAAAATAATTTTGCATTGTTCTTGTGTGACAATCTTATTTACATTTTTAATTCTTTAAATTAGCCTTATGTTGTTACAGGGTGTGATGCTGGTCATCAAACCAATCGTCTTTTGATACCGTTAAATCATCATACATGGTATATTGGTAAATTGTAGCGCAATGGTCTACATGAGAATGAGTATCATAAAGCCTATATATGTCTGTTTTTTTTATGAAGCCTGCATTGAATAATGTTTAACATATTTTAATTATGTAAGCATTTAATGTTTTTTACCCCTCAGTGGGAGAGGGCCCCAGGCACAATGTGCCAAGAGAGCCTGTGTGTAGTTCCGGCCCTGTCTCTGGGCAATGTAACTGTTATAAATCACAATTGAGCCATGCAGAGAATGTTTGAGAACCATTACCCTGTTGTAATAAGGCAGATTATCAGAGTGAGTTTTATTTGATAAATGACTGGGGTGCTTTTCAAACACGAGGCCTACATGTAAAATTGGCACAGGGATTTGGGATTGCAGTGCACGTCTGAAAGTGGAAACAGAGACAGGGTGTACTGTATGTGTGTGTGTGTGTCCAATTTCCCAAAGCTTTTCAGATACCACAGCCAGCCCTCAAAACTATCATCACTGTTCTTGCTCCCATCTGCCAAAGTCATCACACACACACACACACACACACACACACACACACACACACACACACACACACACACACACACACACACACACACACACACACACACACACACACACACACACACACACACACACACACACACACACACACACACACACACACACACACACACACACACACACACACACACACACACACACACACACACACACACACACACACACACACACAAATAGGTGTGAAACAACCATCCCTCACCATTTGAACAGGGGTGGGAACCTGGCTATAAAGTTTCTAACATTCTAAACTTCTGTCTGTCATTCCACACATTGACTGCCCCTCGCACGCACGCACGCACGCACGCACGCACCACACACACACACACACACACACACACACACACACACACACACACACACACACACACACACACACACACACACACACACACACACACACACACACACACACACACACACACACACACACACACACACACACACACACACACACACACACACACACACACACACACACACACACACACACACACACACACAAAGACGAACCCACACTAAAACAAACATTTGTTGTTGGCTTGTTAGTCTGCTATGGTGTTGGTTCTTAACAGCAACATAAAACAAGGTGAGAAAAAGCTAGTAACAACTTCTGAGAGTTTCTAATGTTAAAGTTAGCACGTCTATTTTTGTTGAATGAGTTTTATTTTTGGATACAGTAAGAGTTTACAGTCAACATGCATGGTACGGGGCTTTATGTAAGCCCCTTACCATAGAACGATAAACAAATAATAGGAAATACATTTAACAACTAAGGCACTGTAGAGCAAGGAACAGGAATGAATAGAGAAGGTAGCAGAAAGAACAAATTAGATGTAAGGAGTGAAAAAAAGATAATTAGAGTTGAGGCCTTTCAGGCAGTGAAAGTGGAAAGGTTGCAAATGAAAAATGAGATGCTGCAGGACGTGACTGATGATGGCAGTAGAATATAAGATGTCTTCGACTGTGTTTCACATTAAGGCGGACATGTTTAAATGGTCAGTGAACAGCTGTGCTTTTAAACATGTTCCAAGCTCATTTCAAACATACTTTTAAACAGCTATGACGGCCCTGGACCTGGATATGTATCTGATTACATTTGACAACGCATCATGAGAAATAAATGGAAAGAATCCTTCAGGAATTGATTAGTATACTCAGGAAGCTGTTATTGGTCTTTTGCTGGCTAATGTTAGTGATATTTCATGCTGTCCAGGGAGGGAAACAGCAGAACGTGCCGGGCAATAGGCTAATGCACGCTGCTCAGAGAGAGTCGAGGAGCTACGTTGCTGCATGACAGTCAATTCTGACCATAGCTGTGTCTCCTGTGTCCTCCACTCACCTGCCTCCTGGCTTTTAAACTGTCTAAATACATAGAGAAATACAGTGGAGCAAATTGTGATGTCTGACCGAGTGAAACGTTGTTAAAATTCTATAAAAAGTAAAAACAATTGTGCATTTCTGGTTCAAAACAACAGGAAGACACCAAAATATAATTGCTGAGGTTTGAAGTTAGAGGGTTAAAAAACACACACAGAGACTACACTCATCGACATGCCAGAAAATTACTGATTGAGCTTAAACCAAAGTATGTTTCTGTGGGGGAGCAGATCTGGGGTTACATTTCACCCCCCCATCTCAGTGTGTGTTCCCCAGGGAGGGGAAAGGTGAGTTCCTGGCTTAGACTGAGGCCTCCAGAGACATCCAGAAAGACATACATACTACACAGATTTAATTAGCGGCTTCAAAGAGAAAAAGAAGGGAAGAGGAGAGGAATGATACCGGCAGTAAAACATCTTACTTTTCGGACCTCCTCACATGAGGGAAGCAGAGAAAGTAGTACCTTGGTAATGAGGCGTACTGACGTTCCACTTCTTCATATCGTGGTGCCAACCGAGGATCTGTCGCTCTGACCGGCATCTGGTGAATAGAGACAATTTATTAGTGTTGATTTAAGTAAAAGTATATATTTCCCTGCCTGAAATATGAATAAACTGTGAAAAATGTGTGAGCCTAAGCTTGCGTATTGCATAGCCATAAGCCTCTTTCCTTATGTGTGTGTTTGCGCCTGCGTTTCTGTGTGTGTTTGTAGTCAGTTAGGATTGACAAAGGCTAGTTATTAGGGATTTAGAGTTTTGGTCTTCTGAGGGTTTTTTCTAAGGGGGGGTGGATGAGGCCTCAGTCCTAGATTAGGTTACTTCAAAACAGGATGGTTGGTCATACACACACACAAACAAAGTCATATATATGCAGAGTCGAGTCTCCATCTTGAGAAGTAAAAGATTAAGTCAAGCTGCTGACAGCTCAATCTCTACGACTTCCTTTTTGACTCTTCATCTCACTGGTTCTCCCTCACCTACACATCTCGTTCTCTCCTCACTGATTCCCATTATTACTCACTTTTTTCCCTCTCACACATACGCACGCACGCACACACACACACACACACGCACGCACGCACGCACGCACGCACGCACGCACGCACGCACGCACACACACACACACACACACACACACACACACACACACACACACACACACACACACACACACACACACACACACACACACACACACACACACACACACACACACACACACACACACACACACACACACACACACACACACACACACACACACACACACACACACACACACACACACGCGCACACGCGCACACGCACACGCACACGCACACGCACACGCACACACACACACACACACACAGAGATTATCCCGGTCTATTCACTAGGGAGATTCCAGCTGCCGCGGTGTTCCTTAAAGAGGCCGACTAAACTCCAAACGTCAACAACCCCCATTAACACACACATACATACACACATTGAACTACACACAGGCCATTTTCAGTAAATACTGGGAATGAGACTCAGTTGAACATAAGGGAGTGAGATATGATTCAGATGATTGAGTGTTGTGACTCTGCATACATGCTAAACTCTAACAGTAAAAAAAGAAAATATGGAGCGTTATTGAGTCCCTTCAGGTTGTGTGAAATGCAGAGTTTTGGAAAATAGTCCATTCAATTGAGTTGATCGCACCTTTGCCATTTGCAAAATGGCACTTTTGTTGGTAATACACATCTCTATTGCCTAACATATATATTTATCTAAGTACAATGTTGTACCCCTGATAAGACATTACTGTTTGTTGTCTCTGTCCTGTAAGAGATGTGTACACAGGGTCCCCATATAGTATAAAAACAAGTTGAAGAGTGTGATTAGATCCAAAAGAAGAAAATGCAAGAAGGTGAAGTGTGTGTCCCAAGGGGTGAAGACAGTTGAAAGTTTTTATAGGAAACTATGTTCTTCTCCTCTCCTCCACTCAAGTTAATACTGTCAACCAAATTCGATATTACAGACCATCACTTTTTCTTCTTCTCTCCGATACCAGGAGGCATATAAAACAGATTTGCTGGCCCTGCTTTCTTTTGAACACCTGTCTTTATAGCTTCAATATCTCAGGTAGAGAGACAGCGGGATATTAGGTGGGAATAGAGAGGTGGAGTGAAAGAATGAAAAGGCATTAGAGGGTGAAGAAAGGAGGGGAAGAGAGATGGAGCGAATGAGAAGTAAATGAGTTTGAATGAAGAAGAGCGATATAGAGAGGAGGAGGGATATTATGAAGCAAAGTGGCAGGGAGAGTTCGAGGGGAGAGAGGTGAATTATAAACCAAGGGAGGGAATGGGGTGAAGGCGAGGACGACGGAGTGGGGAGGTGAAAGGGACACCAATGGCACAATTTAAACACGATGTTCAAAGAGGGAAGGGGGAGAGCGAGGGGGGGAAATGACTGCGACATCCGGGGGAGGCTGAGAGGTGAGAGAGATGAGTAAGGGTGGGGTGAAGAAAAAGCAAAGAGTCATGTTTGGAGGGGTAAAGACAAAATGGATGATTAGGGAGGCCGGTTTCAGAGAGATGAATGATGGGAATCAGTCAGGTAGCTTTGGTGGAAGTATACTTGAGGGGGAAAGGATGGCGTTGCAATACGAGGGGAATCGTGCAATTTAATTTATTATTTATTTATGTACATATTCCCTTTCTATTAAAGTCCCATTTCTTGTTTGTATATTGTCTTGTTGTTGTGCGTTGGCACCTTGAGTTCACATTGTAATTTTGTTGTACTTGTACAATGACAAATTAAAGATCTTATCTTATCTATCTTGTTCAATATCTTGTTATTGTCTATAAATCTCATGAAAAAACAAAACAAATAATGCGTTTGTCTGTAAATACCTTCTGACTTCCTTAGGCAAAAATCAAAGCCTATTGGTTCCTATGGAAACGTAACTCTTTAGAAAAACCTCACAACTACATTACACTACATTGCATTTAGCTGACGCTTTTATCCAAAGCGACTTACAATAAGTACATTCGACCAGGAAGACACAACCTTGAAGAAAACAGAATCATATAAGTACATCAGGTTTCATACAGCCAAACATTTCAAGTGCTACTCAACTGGCTTTAGATAAGCCAGTCCTTTATTAGTATAAAAGTGCTTTGTTAATAAATCTATCGCTCGAAGTGGAGTCGAAAGAGATGAGTTTTCAGTTTGCGCCGGAAGATGTGCAAGCTATCTGCTGTCCTGATGTCAATGGGGAGCTCATTCCACCATCCTGGAGCCAGGATAGCAAACCCACGTGTTTTTGCTGATGGGAACTTGGGTCCCCCTCGCAGCGAGGGTGCAGCGAGTCGTTTGGCTGATGCAGAGCGTAGTGCACGTGCTGGGGTGTACGGTTTAACCATGTCCTGGATGTAGGAAGGGCCAGATCCATTCGCAGCATGGTAAGCAAGTACCAGTGTCTTGAAGTGGATTCTAGCAGTTACCGGAAGCCAGTGAAGGGCAGCGGAGGAGCGGAGTGGTGTGGGAGAAATTTAGGAAGGTTGAAGACCAGACGAGCCGCTGCATTCTGGATGAGCTGCAGAGGTCGGATGGCACATGCAGGTAGACCAGCCAGGAGGGAGTTGCAGTAGTCTAGGCGTGAGATGATGAGAGCCTGGACCAGAACTTGCGTCGCTTTCTGGGTCAGCTGGGGACGTATCTTCCTGATGTTGTAAAGCGTGTATCTGCAGCAACGGGTTGTAGCAGCGATGTTTGCAGTGAAGGACAGGTTGTTATCTAGGGTCACACCCAGATTCCTTGCAGTCTGAGTCGGGGAAACAATAGAGGGGCCGATGTTGATTGTTAGGTCAAGAGTGGGACAATCTTTTCCCGGAAGGAAGAGCAGCTCAGTCTTGTCAAGGTTGAGCTTGAGGTGGTGAGCAGACATCCCCTGAGAGATGTCAGCTAGACAAGCAGATATGCGTGCAACGACCTGGGTCTCTGAGCGGGGAAAGGACAGAATTAATTGGGTGTCGTCAGCGTAGCAGTGGTAAGAAAAACCATGCGGGCTAATGACTGATCCGAGCGAGTTTGTGTACATATTCAATAAAGGCTCAATTATTTCCTGAAACGGCGGGACACTGTAGTTCTCAGCAGAAAAACAACATGTGATGCACTAGAGCAAGTATTTATGGTGGCGGTATGTGGGATTGACTTAAATTAATTAAATTGCGCGTGTTCATTGTATATAATGAAGAAAAAATATATATAACCAATATAGCTTTTTTGCACTGATGAATAACAAAACATCGGGCTTTGGCTACACAAGTGTGTTAGTAGGATCAGTTCACTGTTGGTTTTGTTCTTAAAATGGGATTTGTAGGCAATAAGAATAAATACCCTTTGTTCTCTAGTGTTTTTCTAACCCCAAACCTATATGTGCCCGAGTTAAGACAGAATCATCTGGCTGATGTTCCCATAGACAAATGTGTTTCTAATCAAAGTCCGGGGAATTCAGAGGAGTGTGTATGTAGGGGTTAATGTGAGGGTAAACCGAACACAGGAATTCCTCTCAGGAGACTTCTGTTTGTATCCTGTATGAACCATTTCATATATTTGAATACGTAGTATATAAATAAGGTCCGTTGATAAAACAATGTTTTAACAAAAGTACTAATCTTAAACAATACCTTTTTCTGAAGTATTTTTGTGACCAATACACAACCAAGTATTTTTTCAGCGTTTAGTTTGTTTAAATTGATAAAGCTTACCACGTGTTCAATTGTTATCCCTCAAAGAATGATGGAACGTCATGTTGTAGGAGACAGGATTGGACTGAGAATGTATGGTTTGGTGCTCTTCTGCTCAAGTGTGCATGTCTTTGTGTGTTTCCTTACACATGGATTAAGAGCAGATTACTATGCGATGCCACAGACTGAGTAAACAGAAACAGATGAGCACAGAATGAATGTGCACGTATGCATATGAAGTGAGGGAGTGTATATATATTTCTACAGAGGCAGTTGGACTAAGTGAGGAATTGCAAATAGTAATTTATTTAACTGATATTCTTTATTGTGTTTATTCAGCTAAAAATAAGTTGAACAAACCTCTCAGTCTGTCTTCTGGATACAGCTTTGATACAGTTATGCTTAAAGAGGCAGCACAATCAGTTTGGAAATGTGGAGTCAGAAGAAATCCGCAATTTACGTAATTATGGTATTTTGGGTGTTCCCGTTACAGTAGTGTGTTGTAGGTTTGTGTGCATGTAAATGGTCTGCAAAGGAGGTTTCTCTCCGACACACTCCGACCCGGCCTGACACGCCTTTATTTTAGTCCTTTGTTTATTTTCTGTAACATAATCACATCACTACGTTACCCTTTCACTTCTATTGGCTAGCGCTCCAACACATTGTAGGTGATAGGCTCAGGGGCGGGACATCCCTAAGCGGTTGACCAATCACAACAGAGCCAGCCAGCTAACCAATCAGAGCAGACTGGGCTCTGGTTTCAGACAGAGGGTGAAAAGAGGTGCTGCACCACATGAGCAAAATAAAGACCTTTTTTAAAAAAACA